CCCTAGAAAGAGCAGCCACGGTGAATGGGTGAGTGCCCTTTGCTGGATTTGTGTCAAGCAGAGGCTTGGCGCTGTATGGAGGGCCCTGTGGATTGAAGACCTGATTACGCGTGACACTTACGAACAGACGTAGACTTTGTATGGACAAGTATAATGAACTATGGGACTCATTTATACAAAATACCGTAGGTTAAAAAAATGATAGTCGAATAAAAGTATTAGAATAAATACATACTTGAATATTTGCATTACATAAGTATATATAGAATTGTAGTTGTTTACTATAATAATGACATTAACCTCTTTTTTCCTTTGTTGTATTTTCACTTTTTTGTTGAAGCACTTTCTGTGTGTTTTATTTTTTCTCAATAATACTTTTTTTTTTTTAAAAAAGCAGAAGTTTGGCAGTCTCTGTTGGGGTGCTTTCATTTTCATTAACTCCATGATTCTGCACACTGCCCAGGTGGGACCCACTTGGATGAAGCCTCCACTTACTACTGTAGTAGCAGCTCCTTTTCCTAGGAAAGAGCAGGTTTGTTAGTTGCTTCCTCCCAGTCCCCCCACTACACAGTGGCTGGATTCTTGTAATCCACTCAGCCCAAAAGTATTAATGCAGCCCCTGTAGTTTGTAAGCCCTCATTTATGGCTTAGCATGTTATGTGAATCTTGCTCATTGTATTTTATTCAATAAACAATAGTTAAGCAAAGTACACAGTATGTTGTGTGAATACACCCACTGGCTTCATGCATCAGACTAAGCCATAATATATTTAGCATGCTTGTAGTTCAATGCAATGTGTTAACTCAGTTATTGTGGGTTATTAATCAAAGTATGTCTTTCTACCATGTATGAAACCAGCAAGTTGTGGTTTATCCCATGTTAGCAAAATCAGTGCAGTGTGCAAATTCACAATGACTGAGTAGGAAAAGAGTAAGTGGACATCTTTTACTTACTTATTCTTGAAGGATTGTATTAACCACTCTTGTTCAAAGTCAGAGAGTGAGCATGTAAGTAAACAGTTTATGCCAACCTTGTGCTTTTTAGTTGTGCTGTACTATAGCACCGCTCATCCTTACCAGCCTTTCTATTTAAAAGACTAGCAGTTGAAAAGAATGTAGAAAAATATTGAACCTCATTAGTACATACATTTCTATAGACACTCCAAAGACTATGATGTACACACCATGCCAGAAGTCACCAGCCAGTGGGAAGCCATCTACACATCACAAAATAAGTTTAGACATCTCTCAAAATTCACTCAGGCCTTGCTTTCTGCTGTGCCTGTGTAAGCCCACTGTATGCTTTGATGGTGCTTATGCTGCTACTTTTCCTGCACATGGCATGATATGCTTTTTAAAAAACGGTGACCCCTCTCTATTTCAATTTGAGAAATCCTGGTTTAGTGATTTGTGTGAACATACAGTAGCCATCTAAAGGGTATCAACTTGGGGGAAACTGAGGTGATGCACTGTAGAAGGATACAACTGGTGAGCAAGTAAAGATAGTGGCAGTCATATTCTCAGTTTATGCTGCTGAGAGTAAGGTGTGTTTTCACAACAGATTAACTCATTGTTTAATCATGATTTACAGAATTAATTGCCCCCATTCATACATTCAGCTTATATTTATACAGCATGCTTAACTTGGTTATTGTAGTGTGCTGAGTTCACACAACACACTGAACTACAGTTAAATTGACTGATTTTTATACAACACATTAAGGTCCAAGAAACTGAAGCAAGATTAAAACTAAGCATTGCATATAATGCAGGTGCAGCTGGTAGGTTTTCCCCTGACATGGTTAAGCATAAACACAACCACATTGCACCAGAAGCTGACACATTGGCTCAGTTCAGAAAACTTCCTGAGCCACAAAGTAGCCAGCCATACTTTAGTGTAGTGTGTTGTGTGAACCCATTGAAAGACTGAATAATCATAGGGAGGTTAAAGCTACTTACAATTTAAAGCAGCTTCTTCCTCTGACTTATGTCTGGGGAGGAGGAGGGGGAGGGGGAGGAGGAGGAGGAAGAAGAATTATTATTTGGGGAGAAGACTTACCCCTGTTCTGCAATCCAGAGGGAATTAAATGCCCAGAGAGAAATTGCTGTGAGAAAATTGAGGTACCAGTTCACATTTTCCTTCTCAGCAACTTCTAGAAAGGTGGCCATAATTTTAGAGTGTATCTTCAGTCACCAAGGACATCTAACCCATACTTGTTACTGAGAATAGACAGATTGTGTTTTGCAGCTGTCACAGTTCCAGTTGCCACTAGGAAAGGCACCCTAGTTATTACCAATAATGTTTGATTTGTCTTACATTATGACAGGGATTGTCTGGTAGCTGCTGAGTCATCTTAGTAAATGCTGACATGGAACCTCATTGAGGCTATGAGAACTACTGCCCTTAGTTCTAAGAATCAACACCAACTTGATGGAACGTAATCAATTCCTCTTAAATTCTTTTAATTCCTTCACTTTTATACCATTTTAAAATGACTTCTAGTCACTTATACAGTAATACCTCGGTTCATGAACGCTTCTGTTCATGAACAATTTGGTTCACGAACAGCACGGTTCGCAAAATTTTGCTTCCGTTCGCGAACTCCACATCGGGTGACGAACACGACCACAGCCATCTTCCCTGCTCTGACACATGGTCG